TTTTCCAAAAGTGTGTTCCCATATAGCACCCCAAATGCTTCAGACGTCACCATGGACCCTCAGCCACAGGGACCCTTTGGTCATACGTAGCCCGGGCTGAGTGCTCAGTGTGCCACCTACTGTCCAGCATTTACACAGTCCTCTCTGTCCCCACCTCTGTGCTTTACTTGAAGCATGGACTTACATTTACACTCATTCTTCACACCCCTTCATACACGCCCAGACACTCACTGACATAACACATACACTCACCTATAGTTATGGACACACCCTGCCCTGAGGCGCACACCTGCCTCTGCCTGTTGTTACCAGCACTCTCTGCCCTGAGGCACACACTCATCTGTCGTTACAGACATGCTTTGTTCTGATTTGCACACATCCCTGTCCTTACGGACACGCTCTGTGCTGAGGTACACACTCACCTGTTGTTACAGACATGCTTTGTTCTGATGCACACACCTGCCTGTCCTTATGGACATGCTCTGTGCTGAGGTACACACTCACATATTGTTACAGACATGCTTTGTTCTGATGCACATACTTGCCTGGCATTACAGGCCCTGGACACACGGATATTGACCTGCAGCCCATATTCTCATAGGCTTACTTACACTAACTTTGAGTACTCTGCTTCCCCCCTTCCCTTAAGCCACATCCTTCAAGGCCTCTATTAGAAACCCTTCTGTGGGGAGAGTGCCTGACTCTGCCTGCCCTAGTCTCAGCACCCACTCCTTGGGCGGTTCAGGATGGTCCACTCATGTGGCCCTTCCTGAGTCCTATTGTCTCCACCCAGTCTGGGATCCTGAGGCCAAGCCCACCGTGTAGAAGTGGACATGCTTGTAATGTGTCTTTATAGCTGGAGATGAGTGCTCTGGTCACCTGAGAAGACTTGAAGCCCCTCGAGCTAACCCAGGCTCTGTGTCTGGGTTCCTGGGTGGGCCTGGGAAGCCTGTGAACCCTAGAAATGACCATCACCCTGTGAGTGACCATGTGCACATGGGCTTGTGGGTTTCTCTGGGAAGGGTGCCTCCACTGGACCTGTCTAGGGAAGCCCAGGCTTCCTATTCGTGAGCTAGAAAGGGCATGGCCTTGCCTGTTGACTCTGCAGGACTCTAGCCATGACAGCCAGAGCCAAGAGTTGGTCCCCTGCAGTGGGCACAAAGCAATCGCATCTCCTATCGAGACCACCCCACCCCTTCCTTCTTGCCGAGTCCAGGAAGCCATTCACTTGTTCAGTAGGAAGAGCTGAACACACAGGACAGAAAAGCAGGTGTCCACTCAGCAGAGAGTGGGGCTGACCATCCGAGCTGCTGGAGGGAGGTGGCCCTGTTTCAAGGTGAGAAGCCTTCATGTACTGAAGTGGATATATCAGACAGGGCCCACTCAGGAGACAGAAGCCATGCCTACTATTGGAACAGAGAGAACAGGGACTCAAGAGAATTCTGAAGCACCAGAGTACCTGCTTCTCCTAGAGCTGGGAGTGAAGTGAAGAGATTGGACTATGAAAGCTTAGGATCCCCTCTGGTCAAATGATTCTCGACAAGGGAGCCAAATCCATCCATTGGGGAAAGAACAGTCTCTTCAACAAACGGTGCTGGCAAAACTGGATTTCCACATGGAAAAAAATGAAACAAGATGCATACCTCATGCCATATACAAAACCTATCAAAATGGATCAAGGTCCTAAATGTTAAATCTAAAACCATAAAGTTCTTGGCAGAAAATATAGGAGCAAAGCTTTGGGACCTAATTTTCTTCAGTGATAGATTATCAAATACAACAATGAATGCATAAGCAACAGAAAACAAAATAGATAACTGGACTGTCATAAAAGTTAAATACTTATGTTCATAAAAAGACTTTATCAAAAGAGTAAAGAGACAACTTACAGACTGGGAAAAAATCTTTGGGAAACATATAACCAATAAGGGTCTAATATCTAAACTATAGAGAAAACTTCTATAACTTAACAATAGCGAGACAAATAACCCAATCAAAAACTAAGCAAAGGACATGATCAGACACTCCACCAAAGAGGATATTCAGACGGCCAACAGACACATTGAAAGATGCTCAATGTCATTAGCCATCAGTGAAATGCAAATCAAAATCACAGTAAGATACCACTTCACTCCTGCTAGGATGGGTAAGATTTAAAAAAAAAAAAAATCAGGAAATAACAAGTATTGGAGAGGATGTGGAGAAATGGGAACCCTCATCCACTGATGGTGGAAACGCAAAATGGTAGAGCCGTTGTGGAAGACAGTCTGGCAGTTCCTCAAAAAACTAGAGGTGGAGCTGCCATATGACCCAGCAATTCCACTCCCGGGTATATACCCTAGGGATCTAATAGAAATGACATGAACAGACATATGCACACCTATGCTCATCACAGCACTGTTCACAACAGCAAAAAGATGGAAACAACCTAAGTGCCCATCAGCAGATGAATAGATAAGTAAAATGTTGTACATACATACAATGGAATATTAGCGATTAAAAAAAAAAAAACAAAAAACTGACCAAAACATCTTACAGTGTGGATGAACCTGGTGGACATTATGTTGAGCGAAATAAGTCAATCCCCAAAACCAAATATTGTATGTTCTCACTATTATGAAATGGCATAAACAGGCAAATATACAAAAACTAATGTTCATTAGTGGTTACCAGTGGGGGGTGGGGCAGGGGAGAGGAGGATTCCCTCTCTAGATAGTAGGCACTTGTTACTTTTGATGATGGGAAAGATTACACTGTATGAGGGTGAAGCGTGCACAGCTTGATGAAGGTGAAATAAAATTAAAATTAAAAAATACACAAGGAAAAAGGAACTTTTGGTGGGTCGCTATGATTCAAAATCGACGCGGTAGCAACGAGCTTTTTTTTTTTTGGTTTGTGGCATATGTACTTTTGAATCAATAGCAACAACCAAAAAATATATGTGTGGATATATATGTATGTATGTAGACATATATGTGTATAGGTATGTACAGTAAGGCAAAAACATGTCAGAGAAGGAAAATTCAAATATTTTCTACTAAAACAAGTGATAGAAAAGTGGTAAGACTGCACCTGTCAAAGGCCGAAAACTTGTCAAACCCTGAAAAACAAGGCAGTCCTGTCGAGTTCCAGCTCTCACAGGTTTCACTGTATATGCGAGTATATATGTGCTTATATATAGGTTTATGCATACATGTGGAGCCCTGGTGGCGCAGTGGTTAAGTGTTCAACTGCTAACCAAAAGGTTGGCAGTTCAAATCCACCAACTGCTCCTTGGAAACCCTATGGGGCAGTTCTACTCTGTTCTACGGGGTTGCTATGAGTCGGAATTGAAGGCAGCGGGTTTGGTTTTTTGGTTATGCATATATATATGTGACTATATTTTTGTGCATGATTATATGCACAAATATTTATATATATAATAAAACACATGGGGGCACAGTTACGGATCCTTCTTAGATATAACCAGACACCTCATGAGATTAAGACTAGAGTCTTGTGGGACATTTCGGTCAATTGCAATAATATAGTTCATAATGTTAAATTCTACATCCTACTTTGGTGAGTAGTGTCTGGGATCTTAAAAGTGTGCGAGTGGCCTTCTAAGATACAACTCTTGGTTTGTACTTATCTGGAGCAAAACAGAAAGAAGGAAATCAAAGACTCAAAGAAGAAACTATCTACAGGACTAGTAATTTACACGAACCACGGCCTCATCTACCCTGCGACCAGGAGATGGTGCTTGGCTACCACTACCAACCTTTCTGATCAGGGCCGCAATAGATAGACCCTGATACCAAACCAAAACCCATTGTCACTGAGTTGATTCTGACTCATAGTGACCCTATAGGAGAGAGTACAACTGCCCCATAGGGCTTCCAAGGCTGTAATCTTTACGGAAGCAGGCTGCCACATCTTTCTCCCACAGACTCTGATAGAATGGGAGAAAAATTGGAACAGAATGTCAAGTTCCTAAAAAAAAAAACAGACTTACTGGACTGGTTGAGACTGGAGGACTCCCTGAGGCTATCACCCAGAGATGTTCTTTAAACCTTGAATCGAAACTAGCCCGAGTTCACCTTTTAGCTAATTAGATTGGTTCACAAAATAAAGAATATCAAGTGTAAGTACTGTGCTCCTTTAAAAAATCATCTACATGAGAATAAATGGTCAACAATTACTTTAAAACAAAGATGAGAAAGTAAGGGGGCAGGGAAACTAGATTAATGGAAGTGGAACGACCAGAATGGAAATAATGAGAATGTTCATGCATTGCGAAGAATGTAACCAATGTCACTGAACACTTTGTGTGGAAATTGTTGAATGAGAACCTGAACTGCTGTGTAAACCTTCACCAAAAACAATAAAATATTGTTTAAAAAAAAAAAAAAAAAGCTTAGAATCCCCTGGGTGTGTTACTAGAGCTCAGAGGAGGGGCACTGCCCAGCTGGTATCTGGGGCTGGTTATGAACATGTTAAAAAAGCCTGCACACTGGGTTCAGCAGCTGCAATGTCTTGGGGCCTCACAGGAACTGCAGGTTCAAAGGAGACCTATAGGAAGGAGCACGTCCCTCTCCATGCTCCAGCCTGCCATCTCCCTCGAATGCCCTTGTTGGCAGAGCCTAACAGGAGCAGCTGGCACAGCAGAGTGTGGTTCTCAGAGTCCCAGCCCCAGCACCACAGAGCAGACCACAGACAGGAGGGCACAGCTGGGGGGCAACAGCTTAGTCACTGGCCCACGGGGGTGAGTGGGACGGTGCTGAGGAGGAGGGGTGACGTGGTCACTGAGGCATGATGCCCTACTGCAGTGATCCAGTGCACTTTGAGCATCTTTGCTGAACCCTGCCCAGATAGTGATGCCCAGGGCACAGCCTGCCCAGGAAGTGCCCCTGGCTGAGGGGAGAGGGGTGTCTGCCCCTCCATACAGCCAGTCAGGAGTGCTGGCAGGTAGGGGGCAAAAGACCGGGGGTGTCCACTGACTGTCCTGTCCCTCTCCACAGCTGATCAGCGATGGCAGTGTGGTCTGTGCTGAAGCACTCTGGGACCATGTCACCATGGATGACCAAGAACTGGGCTTCAAAGCCGGGGACGTCATCGAAGTGATGGACGCCACCAACAGAGAGTGGTGGTGGGGCCGCATCACCGACGGCGAGGGGTGGTTTCCAGCCACCTTTGTGCGGGTATGGCTCCACCTGTGGTTCTCCCAGCCCCTCTGTAGATGGGGGTTGTCGGACCCCTACCTTACTGCCCCGTAAAGAGCCACCTGGCTCTCCTCAGAAGCCCAAGCCTGACATGCTCAGGTCGCCAAGCAGCCAGGGCCCGAGGCACAGGGCTGGACCTCCTCCTTCTCCTTACATTGAGACTGTGCACATGGGCTGAAGGGTGGGTGCGGGGCAGAAGGCCAGCTTCCCCTCCTCCAGAGCTGCCACCTTCTTCCATGCGTGCACCCCACCACTCTCTCTGGATGGCCTTGGTGACCAGTGAGGAAAGCAAGTCAGAAAGGACTGGTGTGTGGAGACAGGACTCCATCCCTCCAAGGGGAATTGGCACATTTAGAATAACCCTACCACAGATGACTTACTTTACCAAACATTTACTGAGAATTCCATTATTCCATTAAACATTACCCAGAATTCCACCTAGATGGCCTCTGGTCTCCAGGGAAGGACTGAGGTGCAGCCTCCCAAGGCCCAGCAGAGGGCAGCAGGGGAGGGCCCATCTCACCTGGCTCGTGCTTCTCTTGCAGCCCATAGCCTCCTCGATTACCTGTGTGTTCTGCACCCCAGGCCTTTCCTAGTCCAAGTCAGAGCCTCAGCCAGGCCCTGTCAGCCCCAGAGGGACCCCAGGTATAAGCAGGCACAAGTTAGAAGGCATGTCTGAGCACTGCTCGGTTCCAAGCACTGTGCCTGCATAGAGTCTAAGGAGCAGTTGGGGGAGTACACCCGTACTTTCGAGGAGGCCCTGGGTGGTCTCCAGACAACACTGGCAGTGGCAACTGTCCTCAGCACCAGGCCTGGGCCAGGAACAGCATGTGTGACTCTCACAGGGGTTTCCAGTTGCCCTTCCGTTTCTGTAGGACACTGCCCGCCTCTCCAGCGCCCGAACCAGTCAGACTCCCTCCAAGCCTCAGTTCCTCCTGCCGCCCTGCTGCCCTGCCAGGTTGGGGCGTTGACCTTTCATCGGGTGCTGACCCTCCACACATTGCCTGCAGCTGCGGGTGAACCAGGACGAGCCTGTAGACGATGAGACCCTTCAGGCCCGGGACGACGGCAGGGTCGTGCATGGCGAGGCCGAGGATGGCAGCTTGGTGCAGAGCAGCAAAGACCAGATGCGCACCAACGTCATCAACGAGATCCTCAGCACTGAGCGGGACTACATCAAGCACCTGCGTGACATCTGCGAGGTGAGGACCAGGCCAGGCGCTAGGGTGTGGGGTGGGACAGGGGACCTAGGAATGCCCTGACTGCCCCTGACCCCACAGGGCTACATCAGGCAGTGCCGTAAGCGCGCCGACATGTTTAGCGAGGAGCAGCTGCGCACCATCTTCGGCAACATTGAGGACATCTACCGGTGCCAGAAGGCCTTCATTAAGGCCCTGGAGCAGAAGTTCAACCGCGAGCGCCCGCACCTGAGCGAGCTGGGGGCCTGCTTCCTGGAGCACGTGAGTGCAGCCCTGCTGGGTCTCCACACCCCCTCTACACCCACCCTGGCCCTGACGCATTGGTGCTTCCTTTACGCCCATCTTCCTCTCTGCTCTCCTGGTTAGTCTCCTTGCCTCCTCTCAGAGGCCTGCTCAGTAGGCTAAAGCCCAGGCAACCTGCCCTTCTCCCAGAAGTTTCCAAACATTCTGGGCGGACCCTGCTCCCACGCCTCCACCTGGCCAGCTGCCCTTACCCTTCAACACCGTTTTAGGAGCGTGTCTGCTTCTGTGACACAGGAGGTAGGGGCACACCAAGTCCGAGAAGGCTCCTTGGAGCAGGGCGGGCCTGAGCATTGGCCCCAGAGGGGTGTACTGTGGTCAGAGACGGGCCACCTGGCCAACTCTGGGGTTCCTAACACAGTGTGAAAATTATGGTTTATGTTGCACTTACAGTGCTTGTCCCCTCTCTATTCCAGCTGGCACACAGCCAAGGCTCATCAGCATGTTCTGGTCTGGGTGAAAAGGGCTTCTTGTCTGTGTCCCTCTCTCTGGCAGCCTCGAGGGGATTAAGGAGACAATACCAAGACCAGCTTATCCAGGACAGCCAGCCCATCCAGGGCAGGCCACTACAAATGGGGGTATCGGGAAGGCCCTGTCACCCCATGGAGTGGGGAACCAGGGAGGAAAACCATGGAATGGCATCGCATACTGTTCCTTTGTGGACACGGGTGGTGGGTCTGGGCAGCAGGTCGATTCCCACGTGAGGCTGGATCCATTTATCCAGCAGGCAGAGTTGTGGCCCAGTGATGGGGGCTTGGGGCTGACCTCTACTGAGGGGCATATCCAGAGACAGGCACATTGCCTCAGGTGGCTATCACAGCCTCATTTCACCTTGTCCAGGAAGCCCAGAGAATTACCCGACTTGCCCAGGTTGCTCCATGGCAGACCTGGGCCCTCTGCCTCCAGGTAGACAAAGATGGAGGGAAAGGAGGCATAGCGAGCTTCGTGCATGGCACAAGGACATGGACATCCATGTCACTGTGTGGGACAGACAGGGAGCCAGGACTTTGTGAGGATGAAGCAGGACCTGGGCCAGCAGCCAGTCATAGATCCTGGCACCCATATGACCTCTCAATATCTGTCTCTATTTCTAGTGTCTATCAATCAGCAATGCCCACCCTCTGCCTCTCTCATTTTTGGCCTGCATACCCATCTTAGCTTCATTGATTTCATCAGAAAACCTAACATGCAGCCAAACTGTGTGCCAAAGAGAGGCTGAGGAAGCACAGGCCTATGCTGGTGCTCTCAAGAGTTTCAGAGTTTTCTCACCCCTGGGCATTGAGTGCACTTAGCTGGTGCCTTGGCGACGCGAGGAGACAGGGAGACCAGTACTCTGAGCACAGAGGCCCCTGCTCACAGCTGAGCACTTGCCTAGGACCTTGGGGGGAGGAGGGACAGCTGTCCTGATCTCCAGCTGTGTCCCTCCAGCAAGCAGACTTCCAGATCTACTCGGAGTATTGCAACAACCACCCCAATGCCTGTGTGGAGCTCTCCCGGCTCACCAAGCTCAGCAAGTACGTGTACTTCTTCGAGGCCTGCCGGCTACTCCAGAGGATGATTGACATCTCCCTGGATGGCTTCCTGCTGACACCAGTGCAGAAGATCTGCAAGTACCCTCTGCAGCTGGCAGAGCTGCTCAAATACACACACCCCCAGCACAGGTAGGGGTGCACCAGAGGCCCCCTGGGGCTCTGCTTGCCTCCCTTCGGACAGCAGCTGTGCCAGGCCCTGCTATGGGCACTAGGTGACAGCAGCAGAGAGTACACTAGGAATCTGTGCTCTTGTGGCACTGTCAGTGCAGCTGGGATTGGGAGGGGGGGAGTAAATAGGTAAATAAGGAGGTGTAAGTTCCACCCAAACTGCCCAAAGAGTGCAGCCACAGTTGACGCTCTGGCTGACTACAGAGGGATGCAGGAGGGTCCCAAGCTTTCGCACGGCCCTCCAGCTCCTCTGCTGTGCCCCAGGGATTTCAAGGACGTGGAAGCTGCCTTACATGCCATGAAGAATGTGGCCCAGCTCATTAACGAAAGGAAGCGGAGACTTGAAAACATCGACAAGATTGCGCAGTGGCAGACCTCCATAGAGGACTGGGAGGTGAGGGCCAGAGGGCCCAGAAAAGACGGAGACCTTGGCCCTGTGCTTTAGCACCATGCTGGTGCCTCAGAATTGGGGTGGGGGTAGGGGTCTGAAGAAGGGACTTACTCCTGGAAGCTACCCAGCAGGAACTCATGGCAGGAGAGTGAACCCTCTGCCTGGGCCTGCCTCACCAAGCTCCAGAAGCAGGCCTCAAGGGCCGCTTTGTCCTAGTGAAGGGTGAGGAATGGAGGGCCCTTGTGCAAAGACAATGCCCTTCCCTTCCCATAGGCAGCCAGCCAGCCCCAGAATGGGGCCCCACGAAGAGGAAAGCCATTCCACTACTCTGTCTGCAGGTGGCAGGCAGACTCCTGACCTTTAGCTAACTGTGGGGGACACCAATAGAAGGGCTCAAGACAAAGCAAACACGTTGCGTCAAGTCGATTCCGACTCATAGCGACCCTATAGGACAGAGTATAACTGCCCCATCGGGTTTCCAAGGAGCGGCTGGTGGATTTGAACTGCCAACCGTTTGGCTGGCAGCCGAGCTCTTAGCTTCTGTGCCACCAGGGCTCCAGAGGGGCTCAGGCATGACCAATAATGGGTCATCACAATCCAAGCCTCCTGGTTCCGGTTTGCAGGAACCAGTCTTACCTCTAAAGCAACATCATGGCCTGAACTAGGGTGACATTCCTACCAGCCAGGCCATCAGCGAGTGTCCCAGAGGCCTAAGGAGTGGCTGCAGGAACCCTCGACCTCTGCACCTGCCTACCCCCCAACCTCTGCCCTCTCATCAATCTGATTCCTTCCTGAGACCGTGCTCTCTGCATGCCCTGCCCACACGGTATCACAGCAGTCCTGTCTCTATAGGCCCCTGCACAAATCACCCAAGGACCATCAGAATCAGCTGTAGAACTTTATAAAAATACAGATGGCTGCACCCTACTCGATACAATGAATTAGCCTAGAGTTGAGGGAGGGGCTATGCAATGTTTGTTTTTGCTTTTCTGTTTCCCTGGTAATTGATTCTGAGGCTCAGCTCTGGTTAAGAACCCCTACAAAATACCAAACTGAAAGGCAGCCCACAGCTTCTGGCTGTGGTTGGCATCTTCAACAAGGAGCCTCAGGGGCAGGCTTAGTGAGGAAGTCTGAGGCCCCAGTGAGACAACTCCAGGCTCTAAACACATTTCACTGGGAAGAGAGCCTCCTTAGCAGCCATGAAAACTGGCCTCAGAGGGGACTTCCAGCCAGGCCTAGTTATTCTCTAGAGCAACACTGACCAATAGGAATACAGTGTGAGCCGCATGTAAGTTTATACTTTCCAGTAGCCATCTAAGAAGCCCTGATGGTGTGGTGGTTAAGCACTCGGCTGCTAACCAAAAGGTCGGTTTAAACCCACTAGCCGCTCCATGGGAGAAAGATGTGGCAGTCTGCTTCCGTAAAGATTTACAGCCTGGGAAACCCTATCGGGCAGGCAGTTCTACTTTGTCGTATAGGGTCACTACGAGTCGGAACTGACTCTACGGCAACAGATTTGGTTTGGTTTTGGTTTGAGCCATATTTTTTAAAAAAAAGACAACAGGTGAAACTAATTTTAATAATGTTTTAACTCTATATCCAAAATATTATCATCTCCACATGTAATCAATTAAAATATACTTGATGACATATTTTACATTATTTTATATGAAGTCTTCAAAACTGGTATGTATCTTACACCTCCATCCCATCTCAAGTGGCCACATTTCAAGTGCTCAATAGCCACATGAGACTCCAGGCTGCCTGTTTTACAAAGATAACCAACTTATAGGGCAAACATGGTCCACCTTCCTCCCACTCCCCACCTTCGCTACACCCAGAATACTTACTTCCCTGGGCTGCAGAGGCATCCTGCAGGCCCACCTGCCCCTCCCACCATGGCTTGTCTTGCTGCTGCCACACCCCTCGCCCCCAGGACAGAGGCAGGTGGGCTCAGCTCATGACTCTCCTTGGGCTCCCCTGCAGGGGGAAGATGTCTTGGTCAGGAGCTCGGAACTAATCTACTCAGGGGAGCTGACGCGCATTATGGCCAAGAGCCAGCAGAGAATGTTTTTCCTCTTTGACCACCAGCTCATCTACTGTAAGAAGGTACCAGAGTTGCTGAGCCCTGGGCAGGGGGTGGCCCCGCACAGATCAGACAGAGGGAGTGAAGCCAGGGCTGGGAGTAGATGCCCAGAGGAAAGCAACCAGCCAGGTCACCACAAGGTCCATGGGTAGCCCACAGGGCCAGGAGGAGGGTGGCTCTGCAGGGTGGGCCTGTAACCAGGACTGACGGGGAGTGGCCTGACTGGGGCCTGTGCTGTTGACAACACCATAGCTGGGCCCTCCTGGGCCTGGCCACTTCTCGCTCTTCAAGCCACCTCTTCTCCCCCTGCAAATCTTGCTCCCCCTCTCCAGCCCTACAGCCCTCTGCTCAGCCACGCAAACTTCTTGCAGGCTTCTCAAGCCACCTGCAGGGCCTGAGGAGCCCCACCTACGCTGCTTTGACTCCTCTCTTGGTGATGCCTGAGTGACCGAGATCTCTTTGCCTCACTGCATGACCTGGCCACCCCTCCCTTTCCCCCACCCCATCCCCGCATGGTGTAGAGCCTAGCCCCTGCACTCTGTTTCCATGGCTGCCATCTGCCTCTGCCCCCCACCCTCCTAAAATAGGGACTGACTCCTAGGCAGGGTCGGATTATCCAATAAGCAAGGTACGCACATGCTTACTTGTGCTTACTTACTAATCTGTACTGCACAATTTCAATTGTTTTTCACCATATCAAAGGTGGTGAAACCCATGTGAAATTGTGCACTACAGATTATAAGTAAGCACTATTAAACCTGTGCATACCTTGCTTACTGGTTAATCTGCTCCTGCCCCCAGGCCAGGCATAGCAGAGGCATCAGAAACTGTTTCCTGAACGAGAGGCTCCCCGCAGGGCAGGGACTGGACCGGGGCATTCACAGGTTCAGCAAACTTTGGTCAGGGGACCCATCTGGGAGGGAGGTGGGCAGCCAGCCAGTACCACTGCCCCATGGTGTGCACCTGTGAGGGAGCCCCCAGGGCACTTTTGTGAAGAGGAGCTGGCCTCAGGCATGGCCCCGGCAGGGGTTTGGAAGGGCCAGGAGGGTCCCTGCCAGCAGGCTGGGCACCACCTGAGAGCACCTCTGGCAGGACCTGCTCCGCCGTGACGTCCTGTACTATAAGGGTCGGGTGGACATGGACCACCTGGAGGTCGTGGATGTGGAAGATGGGAAGGACAGAGACCTCCACGTGAGCGTCAAGAATGCTTTCAGGCTACGCTGCAGCGCCACAGGGGAGAGCCACCTGCTGTGCGCCAGGAAGCCTGAGCAGAAGCAGCGGTGGCTGAAAGCTTTGGTCAGCGAGAGGGAGCAGGTGCAGCTGGATCAGGAGACAGGTGCGTGACCCTGTTTGGCCTTGCCCTCCTCACACGAACATGAGGCAGTCTGGACCACCTTGCAACTGTGAGACGAACCCTGTCCATAGTAGAAGGGCCCTTCTCAGTCCCAGGAGTGTGCTCCAGCCCTGCCTTCATCACCCTGCTGGCAGGAGCACCCCTTCCTCTCAGCATCCAGCCCCAGGGCCATGCCGCTGTCCTGGGTGCATTTGGGTTGGGGGTGTTGCTTCCATAGGGTTTGGGCCCCTCTGCTCAGCACCCCAGGTTGCTGGGACCTGGGGGAGCCCCCTTCCAAAGCAAGCCTTAGGAGAGCATTAGTGTGGGACATGGTTACTGCCCTCCAGAAGCCTCCCCCACAACCCCCATGTGACCAGGCCATCTCCCTACTGCAGTCCTGCCTGCCCCTGGACCCTGCTAAGCATAGCGGTGCCAGGCCAGCTCTGGGTGACAAAGCACGTCCATGTGGAGAAAGGACTGGACATGCACGAGGGAGAGGGGTGTGCATCAGGGATCTGGTCGGAGCCAAGGTGAGGGCAGGAAGCAGGACCAGTTTTCGTTCTGTTGGGGCCCCTCGTGCCCCTGAGAGCCTCTCCTCTGCCGGGGACTGGCTCCAGGGGAGGTGGACTGAGCAGGATAGCAGTCCCCTGCTGTGAATCCTGGGCCCCATGAGAGGTGCAGGGACAGAGGACTGCCCCCAGGGCTCCAGGCAGTGGGGAGATGGGCCTCTGGCAACAGAGTGCAGAACGTGAAGCAGAGGACACATGACCAGATGAGGTCCCAGAAACCTCTCTTCCCAGGCAGGGCCAAGGGCTGGGCATCCACGCCATAGGTTGGTGCAGCCCAGGTGGGACAGCAGGAACTCAGGGCAGAGATGAAGTGGGGGTGGGGAGCAGGTGGAAGGGCTGCCTCATCCTTGGCAGAGAGGCCCAACGGGTTTTCACTGTGTCCCTGTCCTGCCCCAGGCTTCTCCATCACAGAGCTGCAGAGGAAGCAGGCCATGCTGAATGCCAGCAAGCACCAAGCCGCTGGGAAGCCAAAAAGTAAGTCCCCTGCTCCCATCTCTTGGGCCACTTATACCCACCCTGACATGAGCCATGACCAGGTGTTTGCCCCCAAAGGTTGATGATTAAGGGGCTGCTAGTGACAAAGTGGGTGGCCACAGCACCTCACCAACCTGCACAGCTCCCTGTAAAGAAGCAAATGGCCCTGTTTCCTCAGATATTGCTGAGGCCCTGAAATGTCAAGTGCCTTGCACAAGGCACATGCCATGGAGGACTCCAAAGCCCACATCTTCCCAGCACCTCTGTCATCCCCTCTGAAGTCCACAGGAGGACAGGGCCTGTGCCAGCAGCTTCTTGGTGGCCCAGGTGGCCCCTGGGTGTGGTCAGCCCAAACCCTGCTGGAAGCAAGTCCTTTGTGTGGCAGAGCTGTCACCTGTGGGAGACCTAAGGCAGAGCTGTGGAATGAGCCCTGGTCCACTCCTCCCACAGTGCAGGCTGCCACTCTGCCCTGTGCCCCACTGCTGTCTCCTTCCCTCTGCCCAGCCACCAGCCGGCCCTATTACCTGACACGCCAGAAGCACCCAGCATTGCCTGCCGGCCTACCCCAGCAGCAAGTCTTGGTGCTAGCAGAGCCCAAGCGGAAGCCGTCCACCTTCTGGCACAGTATCAGCCGGCTGGCGCCCTTCCGAAAGTGAGCCTCACGCCCCACAACCCCTGCCCCCAGCCCAGCTGCAGTTTGGATCTGCCTCAGCAGAGGGCCAGGACGCAACACAGCACCCTCAGCTCTTCTGCTGCACCCTCCGTATCCAGCCTTCCTCTGCCTATTTATTGTGCAGATTGGAAGTGAGCAGGGCTGAGGCCAAGGGATGCTCGATGCCACCAGAAGTGAGCCAGGTTCTGTCTTCCCACACTGGAGACCGTGCCGGGAGAGCAGGGGTTGCCCCAACACACACAGCCCCCTCCCAAAGGCCTCTGGCCAGCTTAGGCTGGGAGCCGCCCTCTGCTTTAGACCTGGTAGCCCTGCCTCGGAACCCCCACCTTCTCCTCTTGCAGCCCCAGGCCAACATGCTCTGGCCACTCTGGACCTTGTTCTTCGGAAATCTAATCATCCCATCTCCTCCTGCTTTCTCTGGGCAGGAGGGAGCCTCTTCAGCCTTCAGCTACCAGCAGGGCCCTCTACCTTCCTTGCAGGCCCCAGCCCCAGCCAGTGTTGTCAAGCACTGCAGCCTCTGAAAACGGGAAACAGGAATTCTGCGCCAACATCTGGCCCAGAGCCCACCCATTTTTCCCTAGCCGTCTCTGGACACTCGTGGCTGCTGGACACCCTCTTCATTTGTGATCTTTATTTACAGTGAGAAGAAAAGAAAATCGTAGTCAGAGTTTGTAGCCAGTCCATCTGTAGCTGTGGGGTTGACTCCAGAACCTGGTTTCTGTTTTCCTTGTCTGGATTTTGTTTTTCCAACAATGGAAAAAAAGAATTAATTGCTGTTAGTGACACAGAAAGACTGCCTTACCCCCGAGTGTGAGAAGCCATAAGGACTGAATCCTGTGGCCCAGAATCCAGGACCTGCCAACCCCAGGCAGGAGTGTGGAGGAGGGCGCCCCACCAAGGATCGAGGAGTGTGTTGGTGCCAAGGACTCACCCCAGCCCACGGGAATTCAGCAGCATGTACAGTCACTCTTGCACTAAACCTTCTCCAAGCCAGAACTACATTGAATTTCATAAAGAATATTGTGAAAAGTAACCTAGCTACCACTGTGTCTCCTGTTGGGTGTCTGTGTTTTTTCCTCAACATGCCCTATCTATCTATCTTTTCTGCCCCCACTATTACCACATCTCTACACAAGTACTTACTTTGAAGAGAATGAGCCCCACAGCCTGGGGGGTGGGGCATCCTGGTCATAGACAGCAGTGCTCAGGCCTTTGATGAGACAGGCTAAGGGAGCCGGGCAGGCTCCAGGGAGGCCACAAGGAGCTAGGCAGAACTGGGGTAACGAAGGGGGAGAGGAGGGACAGGGTTAGCCTGGTATGTTCCTAGAGCCTGTTCAGGTGTGGCGTGAAACTGACTCAGCCCCCTTCACCAGAGGGCCCGGAAGCCCAGGGATTCAAGGAGGGCTGCTCCCCAGAGACTATAGTTCGCTGAAGTTGAGAAATGAGTCTGGGGGATAGGTAATCTTTTGGGGGCTCAGCATCCTCATCTGTGAAATGGGAAAGAATGTGACTTCCCAGTAGGAACTGCATCACATGACCTAGGAGAGGAGGAGTGCAAGACTGTTTCCCTTCCTTTCGCACCCTGGGAAACAGTCCTCCACAACCCACACCCTTATTCACTGCCAACATCACTGAGGGGCTAGAGACCGCAATGGCCTTTTCCTGAAACCCCAGGCAGTCTCCTACTTTGAGACCAAAAGCTACAACACTTCCAAAAGCTACAACACTTCCCAGTCATGCCAAGCTACCTCTAAACAAAATCCCTGTAGAAAAATCATGAAAACCAGAATATGCAACACAAGTCAATCTTTATTGAAAACTGCAGTATTAATACATAACAATTCTTGTTACAATAAACGTGCTTTTAAGAATTTTAAATCTGAGCTCATCTACTCATCAGATTGCATAAAAAATTAAAATAGTAAGAATTTACACATAATTGAACTGGCTCAGGATGGATTTATCCATTCCTTTGTATTAACACAGTAAGTTCAATCAGAGGTGAGGGATGCCTTTAACACTGGAAGACAATGCTGCTTAAGCATAAAAAAAGTACCAATAGAATGGTCTAGGAAACAGTATTTAAGTCATTAAAAAAAAAAAAAAAAAAACATTTCCTATTTAATCACAACCCATATGGCTCCTTGGGACCTCTCCTCCAAGGAGCTGTCACAGAACCCTTCCAGGAGTGCAGGACAACTACTCTCCATGATCTGGCCCCAAGCATTCTTGAGGACTAGTCTGCACAAGGAGCCACAGGAAGAGCTCTGAGGGGGCCAGTGGCCCGCTGGGCGCCACCACCATGCAAGAGGATTTCATCTCAGCTCCTGAAGGCCAAGACTGACTGACACCTGTCACCTCCAGTGCCCCAGTGCCGTGCAGGCAGGCAGCCAGGAGCATACGCTGTCTCCTGAAGCTCCTCTTGGGCTCCCTAGTCAGAGATGCCCATAAACGTTTCTTTTGCCTCTCCCTCTTGTCTCCCTGTCCCAAGTGGACAGGGAATCCTGACTAACCTTTAGTCCTGTAGATCAAAAGTAAGGTTTATCCCCACAGGTTTTCTGTTCCTCAAATGAAGTGAAGGTGGGAGAAAGGGACAAATCCTCCCAACAGGTATATCTAAGATCAACATCACAGTTTTCTACCTGAAATGATCATGCCCTCCCCTCAGAGAGTTATCTGCAGTATATTCAAGAGTACACTGCACCTTCAGAAAGCTTAGGTTGAATAATAAACAGTTCAGGAGAAAACACACTCACACACAAAAAAATCTGAGATGTGCTGGAGAGGAGAGCTAAGCACTCTGCCCCCTCCCTTAAGCCCCACTGCATTCCTCTTTAGAGACTCCCTCCCCCTCAGAAAGCACCAGAGAGAACCAGAAGCTGCCCTCACCTCATGCTCCCAGAAGCTGGTGATGCTGCACTCCCTGAAACCTACCCTTGCATCTACTAGAACGTCAGACAAGGTGTGCTGTCCTGTTTAGGCCACGCCTGGGCAATGATAACGTGTCCATCCATTAGCTGCCGGATGAGGAGAAGGTGGCTCAAATGGTCAGATTAATACTGTGTTCAAATGTTTAAAATGGGCAGGTAAAGAAGTCTGGACATCCCATTTAGAGCAGACCTTAGTATTTACATAGCTGGTGTACGCCACCTTCCCGCCGGCACCCTCAGAGAAACCATGTGTGAGCAATACCACCAGGTATTAGTACATTTCAAATTATTTTAAGAATGTATTTCCCCTCATTACTGAAGTGTCCCCAAAAGACACATGCAAATTACCTCCCAGACCTCATTTATTACAGCCAGGTGAAGCAAGGCGCCGTGTGCCTAGCTTGGGGAGGGAAGGCTCTCTCATGTCCTGTAAATACTACATTTGCATAGCACTCAATAAACAGCGTCACACAATAGCAACTGGTGGGCCTAATGACCGTACCAACACTACAGACACAAAAGGTTCTGAAGTGCCTCCATACTGATGACCTGGCTGCTCCAGGAACGGCCCAGCCAATGCTGGCCTCCCTTCTCGGAGGCAGCAAGCCCATCTGCTGAACACACAACTCAGTCCAGATCCAAACAAGATTTTCATTAACAGAGAAACAGCAACATCTACATATCTGATGTAACACACTCACAGACCTTGGGTTAGAAGTTGTACAACAAGATTGTTTAAAATATCCATGACACTGTCCACGTCTACAGAAGTCAGGCCTTTTGTTTACCTGCTTTACCTCCTAAAAGAGTCACAATTCAGCCGAAGGACTCTCAAATCAGGAATGTCAGATACAAAAAAGCAAAATTTCCCAGAATATCCCACTACGGTGCTTAGGATCGCAAATTATCCAACTTTTTAACAGAAGTTTGACCAAAGTCGTGTTCCTTAATTAACTGTACTAGAGCTAAATGCTGCTGAAATTACAGTCTGTGATAGTTTTGTTACTATGCATACGTCTAGATCCTTACCTGACAGACAAGCTCTACCTTTTATCATCATAAGATATTTATTGATAGCTGATGCCGATAATTTCAAAACTGAAAGGATTTCTTCATGGATGCATTCCATAATGCAAAAGTGTCTGATAAACAGCCTCCCAACTCGACTTCACAAAAGGGAAAAAAGATTAAAAATTTTAAGTGGGAAGAGAAGTGTTTATTAAACTGATATAAATGAAGAAAAAAATGCAACCCACTCATCTTTCTCTTGAACAGTTTAATTCAGCGCTCGTGAAAACATTCACCCCGTGTGTGCCAACATCCAAGCAAGTCTGAAGAGACATCCTAGATAACTTCTTATAACCCCATCCTGAATTCAAATGACTCCACCTCTTTCAGAAAGTCATGTGTGTGTACTTTTCTGATTTTTGTTTGGGGCTTTTGTTTAAACACATACTAAAATCAGAAATATTTTCTCCTAATCTATTATCCCTAAACTGGGAAAACTGACTTCTCCATCAATCAGTCTGGTCAGCCCCTGGGACCCTTAGAACCTGTTAATATTGCAAACCCATTAATTACACAAAGGAATTATCAACACAGACTTGAAAAAAATGAACAGATTCAAACTGTGTACCTGGGGTAGATGTATGCTACACGCACGCGCCACACACAGTAAGGTGGGTTAAGTGCTCATAAAGCAATTTAAAGTACTTAGCAGTAAACACTACGCTAATAGACATCAGGAATAAGAAATTTTGTTTACAATGATCCCTGCAAAAATATTCCTAAACTTTTATAAAATAAAATGTGAAAAACAATTATGAAGACTACTTCCTATAAAAACTAAGGTCACCAAAGGTTCAGTGGTCAGCTGTCCCGCCCACCGACTAGGGCTGCCCACCAGTGGGGGGACCCTCGCAACCAGCATCAGAGCTCGTGACCTAGCTGCCAGAGACAATGAGAGCAGAATCCCCTCCCCCAAATACAGCACTCAAAACCACCATCAGGGTGTAAACAAGGTGCCTGCCCCACAGCCCAACAGACCACTAGAAGGGAACACAATTTCCATTACCACCCTCCGACTATATCTGAGAACACAGAAAAGCATTCCCATCATTTTAAGCTGGGCGTATTTAGAAAGAAAAAAAAAAAAAATCCTCCTGATTTCTTATGTGCAATACTCTGATTTTAGATCAAAATCCTTTCCTGATAATCGTGGCCGGCATAAATGCATTCCGATGCTGGCTGGCTGGCTGGCCGGCCCTTCTTGCGGTCCAACCTTGTTTTGTGCTAAATGTCCTCAGTTGCAAGAAGAGACAGCAGAAGAAGCTCATAGACCACAGATACCACCCCTTCACTCCCACAGTCCCCTCCAGCCAGTCTCAGAGAACACATCACCAGGGGGGACAACCCTAGGAGAAACTACAGATTTCTACATTTTCAGACACATCCACGGCCCTGATACAATGTATGCATACCCTACTCTACAAGAAACATGAGGAATTTTAAATAGGTTTGTTCCCTTTTAATAATTCTTAAATATACAACTTTCTTCGTAACACACAAATCTTTACCCCTTTCTGTGTGTGTGCGAAGGGAGGAACAGCAATGCCTACATGTTCTTCAGCTGACTCAGGGCTTTCTCAGGAAAAAAAATGGAATGATTTTCTAAGCTAAATAAAGCAGAGGCCAATGCCTCCTCCAAGTGTGACTGTTCCTCTTTTACATGTCTTCCCATCAGGAAAATAATTTAGTTCTAAGCAGGACTTTTCCACTACAGATAAAGAAAACATCATCTCTAATTTGTAAGAGATTTGTAATGAAAATTTAGATAGCAGAGAAAGTTACTTTGCTGATACTTAAATCACTACTCTGCCCCTAATGTACTGGTCACACAGCTCTATTTGGTGATGATCTTTAAGAATGTCCACGCCACACTGACCCCACCACGCCTACACGGAAAGAGATGGGAAGGAAGGGGGCCTGTGAATCTGGCGTGTCGCACCCCAGGCAGCTGCAGCCTCCCGACTCTCCCCACCCTGTGACTTACTCCCCCAGTGCAGTCAATGTGAAAGAAAAAGATCACTGAAAACTAAAGTCTATGTTCCTAACTGGCAACCCACATCAACCCCAAAAGGTTGAAGAATCATCTAGGGTATTTTAGATGCTCTATGGAGAAATTCACTTTTACACTTAAAACTTTTAAGACTTTGCATACATTACAACAGTGCATTAGTGATACAAGTTGTAAAATACTTTTCCATTCCTTTGGATTTTGCATATGATGATTTTGCATCAGTCACTGCAGGTAGATTGAGCAAGCTTTTTTTGTTTTTGTGGTTTTTTTAAAACATGCATTCAACTAGATATGGTTCAGAATAGATTAATACTCCCTTTTTATCATTATAGTTAGCTAAAAAAATTGCCACGCAGTCCACAAAACAGGATTTGCTTTAAAACCAACCCAGAGAGTTAGCTGAAGACTACCAGTGCTGGGACCTGCTGGGCCAGAATGTCGTCATGTTTAGCTAAGTGTCGAGAGTATTAAGAAGAGAGTCCTGGTTGGAGGCACGAGGCCTGCAGCACCAGCTGTGGAACCTCAATGATGTGACTGCACAGCTCCATCCAAACCTGGCGGGAGAGAAAGACACACAGTCAAACAGAGCTCTCTGGCACCACTGCTCAGAAGGTGAAGTCTGAAATTAGTCTTAAAGGAAAGAGGATGAAATCCACTAGGACTAGGAAAGGCAAAATCCTCTCACAGAGCCATCACAGCAGGGAAAGAAAGGTCACAGTATAGGAAGGTTCCCGTGCATCACAGATCCTCCCACCAGGTCCCTAGCCATTCACACACACCTCAGAGGCTGGTTATGATGGGTCACAGGGCCGCAGAAGGTAGGTGTGTGAATCAGAGGAAAGAGATAAGGAACAAAGCAGATTGAGAACACAGTTAAGTACACAATGGTTTCTCCTCTTTCTTCTTATTTCTTTGAGCTCCAGTAAGAATAGAAGTTTAAAAACTGCACTGTGCTTGGATCAACGGTTAGGTTAACAGTACTCTACCTGGTACGCTAAATACGGGATGTTTGGCATCCTCCCCTGAAGAGATGCACTTTAGTAAAGAGCCAACCGGGCCTTTGTAAGTCACTTACATTTGCAGGGTGATCACCACTGAGGGGGCACGTAGCTGTAGGTGGGTGTTCCTGGGGCCCGGTACGTTGGCACAGTGACCGGGTGGGGGGCAACAGGAGTTGGGGAGTGAGCTGTCAGTAGGGTCCCTAGAAGAAAAAGCAACACGTCTCACTGGCCGGCAGCAGCGTCCACACAGGAGGCTGGCCGGAGCCACTGCAAGTAAGGCCAACTGCATCACCACCATGCCATGCTGCCTCGAATCAGAGCTCCTTCTGGCCTAGACTCACTGTCAACGAGGGGTGGTACACGCAAAGAGGCGATGGCCTTGACACAGAATGCTGTCAAAACTGATTGTATAATCACATGGACAGAAAAGCTGTATGAAGAGAGCAAGCTCGTACTGATAACATGTTAAGTCTTCGCACCTCCTTTCATATGAGCACAGCCATGACTTATGGGGAGTCAGATGATAAACCACAAAACAAAAAATGAGAAAGGAGGACTCCAAACTGTATGAGCTGCTGGGTACACTCAAAGAAACATATGAGTCCGTTTATGGGCAAGTACTGCTTCAAACACAGACCAGCTCACCTGACAGCTCTCACGCACCCATCTACTTGTGTGCCCACACCAGCCGCTCCAGGGCCTTCTGTCCCCACCCTCCATGTGTCTCCAACACAGTTTCTGTCTGTCCCACAATCTCCTTTGCCTTGAGAGTTAAGTATGGGAAAAGCAAATAAAATCGAGACTCAGAGCAGAAACACAAATGTTATCCTGAAATGCTTTTCTCCCTGGCACAATTTCCTTACACTGAAACAAAGTCTAATAAAACAAAACAGTATTAAAACAAAATCCCCGTCACGGGCAACCAAGTACACCTTGTGCAGACATAAGCTCCCTCCACACATAACTCATGCTGAGCTTAACCCGACTCACATATCTGAAGGAAGCCACACTTACCAGAAGGCCAGCGAGATACTCGCATCTCTAGAAACCAGGTCAAGCCCCAGAGGGATCCATGGTTCCATGAGGTGGGACCATCCCAGCCACGAGTCTCATCTCACCATGACTTACTTCCTAACCTCTGGGAGGCCTTGGGAAGTAATGGCCATGAATGCCAAAAGATTCCTACATGCAGTTGTTACTTCTATTAACCCAAGCCCAGCTTTCCTAAGCTCCTAACAATCTTCCCATTAACACAACTGGCCTGCAAAGACAGCCCACATTAACGTGAACATGCAAGAGGGCAGCTCCACCTGAAGCAGTGTCCCCTTCTGCTCAAGCTTTATGTGTTGGGGGTATCAGGTCACTCCTTTCCCTACTCCCAAACGCAGCAGCTCACCAACAAAGTGGCACAATAAATCCAGAGAGCACAAGCCCACACTCCAGACAAAGGGAAGGAAGGAAGGTAAGAAAAAGATAATTTGCTGTTCCTTCACAAAAGGATTATATGTCCTTCCCTACAACCACAGCCATGGAAAATCTGAGCCAAGGTCAGAGAGCATTAGCGAGTACCCCTCCACCGCTCTCATACCCACTCGCTCTCATACCCACTCGGCTCAGTCAGGAACAATGACTCACCTGCTGACATGGCCATAGTGGTCCCAGCCACCATACCCATGGTAACTCCATTGCCTCTGGGAGGGGGGATGGGTGCAGGGTACACTGTCGCCGGCATGCCGTTGGGCTGCACCACCGTGGTGTGGTGGATGACATGAGGGGGGGCTGCATACAGGGGCTGTGTGTAGTACGTGCCTTGCTGTGGGAGAAGAGGAGAGACAGCTGCCAGAAGATCCCACTCCCCAGGGTTCACAGCACAGATAGAGCAGACCCGTCACACATATGCAGTGCCAAAGAGAGGCCCACAGCACACACCCAAGCCTACCTGTGCATATGGGCTCTGCTGGGGGTAGGCACTTCGCACAGGGTACACGGCAGTCTGGTAAGGGTTGGGGGAGGAGGAGTATGGTGGCACTGTCCCGCTGGTGGGTGAACAGGACACTTTGTAAGGTGTGCCAGGAGTGTAACCTGAAATAAAGAAGCCCAACGGCCTTAGTTAAAACATGCATTCACCACAACCCGTGCCAGACTCATGCATTCACAACCCATGCAGGCTCAAGAAAAAGAGTGCAGAGAAAGGTGCGGTGGCAGTCTAGGCCTGGACAAGAATCAAGAGCTGACAAACCTACCGCCATACCCCTCCTCCACTGATTTCATATTGTATTGAGAGAGACAGAGTGTGTATGTTGTGCGTGTGTGTGTGTGTGTGCGTGTGCGTGTGCGTGTGCGTGTGTGTGCTCACAGGAGCTGTTTGGAGAGGAGGAAAAGAACCCAAAGAAAAAAGTTCTGCAGAGAATATGCTCACGGTTACACACAATACTGTCCTGCTGGAATACAAACTGGTACAGCCCTTCTGGGGAACAATTTGGCATTGAAAGTATGTATATCTTTTTTTTGTTTTTATATTTTATTCTACTTCAGGTGAAGGCTTACAGAACAAATAGTTTCTCATGAAACAGTAGTACACATGTTGTTTTATGACATTGGTTAACAACCCCACAACATATTAAACC